TAGTTTACTTCGCACTACGTCCATGTGGATCTGTCCACTCGTTCCTACTAAATTTGACATGTTTAATAATAGATATTTGATTATGGACTCAACGTAACGGATCATGCATATTGGTCTTTAATGGACTATAGATAATGTACTATGCTCAATGGACATCTTCATTCCCAAATAACACGGCTTTATACATTAATGGACGCTTGATAATATTCTGCATTTGGTGGACATCTTAATATTTTTTGGGGTTGTTAACTTTAGGTTTGTGGATTTTCGCTTCGCAGACACGATATTAATCAATTTAAAATTTTCATTCAACTGAATGTTATCCATATATTATAGAACATGTGTTCACTTATTATATAGTTTAGTATAAATAAGTGTGTCTTTCTAAATGTGGACATATGGATAATAATTATTTATCCAAGATGAACATGAGAGCCTTAAAATTGATTAGAAACGTTGTTTGGACAGAATACATCATTGATATCCAGAAAACCTCATCCACATGATCATAAAGAGCATCATCACTACCGGTACAGATCTGTAACATTCTAAGCCGAAAAATGTCCTCGTAAAGAACTATTCAATAACATATGTACATCTCTATGTGGATTCGTGAAAATACTGAATTGAATCAACTTCAAATGAATACGTGATTCAAAAACAACTTACTCCTTTATGTGAAAAGAGCATTATTCTCTTCTTCTGGACATCTTGACACAAAGAGAGTTTATAAGAAGAAAACAAAAATATTACGAATAAAAGAAGTAAAATAAAACACAAAAATCGAGAGAATGGTATAAGAGAGAGAGAGAGAGAGAGAGAGTTTAATTTGAATGACAAATTAGAAATTAGGAGAAAAAAGAGAGGCTAAGAATGCACTATATTTTCTCTGTATAATGAGGAAAAAAGTGAATTTTTGTGATATTACTTTCCAAAAAGTGACCTTCTATGATATATTCTCTACTAGTAAATGGTAAACTAAATAGTGTATTCAATAAAAGATAACTTATAGGAACTGATATATCAAAAATGTAACAATATAAGCACAGCCTCATTCTCCACATATTTTGTCAAAAAAGTGACAAAACTAGCCTAATAAAGCAGATTGTAAACAAAGCAAATTTCTATGATTATTTACTGGTTTTTAGTTTGTTTGGACATGAGAAGCTAACATCTCTCTCATCTCTCTTTTTATTTTTGTAACCCATACGCATGTTTGATATGAGAAAAAGGGAAGGCTAATAAGGCACTATATTTTCTCTGTATCATGAGGAAAAGAAGAAGTTACTTTCTCTAATATTACTTTTGAGAAAGTGACTAAATGTGATATATTCTCTAAACTAAACAAGAAACAAGGAGGAATAACATAGGGTGATTTACAATATAAGTCACTTTTAAGATAAGATATAGAAGAAAGGTAAGAATATAAGCGGCACAAGTTTGTGCTTATGTTTGATGGAAAAAGGACAAGTTTAGCTTCCTGAAAGTTAAGCTAGAAAGCAACAAGCATTTACAATTTGATTAGTTTGGTAGGTAGTTTAGTTACGATTTTCAAAGGTGATAAGTTAGGCTTTACGGGGATAAGAAAAGTCTCGTGTTTCTTTTAAACTCTTTAAACTTTTCCATTGACGTGAGGAAAATTGATAAACGAGGAAACACGAGACGATGGAAAGAGAGGTAAGATGATATCCACCATTCTCATGACCACGAGGTTAATAGTCAGTGGACATGCTACCATACATATCCCTCCAACGAAGAGCGGGAGGTAAGAAATAATGGAAAATAAAGAGGCAAAAAAACAGAAAAAGTACAGCCATCAAGACGGCGTAGTAAGGGGCATGAATCGACGAGACAGTTAGAGCAAGTAACTGAAAGTGAAAGAGATCAAGCGAAGAAAGGGGTGCTTAGGATATAGCTAAACGGCGAAGATGAAAGAAATAGGGTAGTCGGATTTAGTCAGAGTAAACGGCGGTGATGGTGTATGGTAGAACAACGACGATAGTAAAAGTTAGGGTTTGGGAATTTACTGAATTGGAAATGGAAGTTAAAAAGTTGCGTATTTTGCGGTGGGAAATGTGGACTGGTAAACCGGAAAAAATTGTTCATCCAACAAATAAGGTACAATTCGGCCCATTGGCCTGTTACGGCAGAGTCTGTGTTTAGCGTAATGGATAGATGATTGTGGATATGGTGTGAGGAAAGTATCGATTAAGCCCAAAAATGGACAAATGAATATGGATGTAGAATATAACATTAGTTGGACAGTTGGATATTAAACAACTGAGCAAATAATTTTTGGTAGAGTCCATTGATCGTAACTAAACAGTGTTCCAAAGAGAAGATTTGGAGTTACAACGAAGATAAAAATGAGGTGCATGGAGTCTGAAATATGGGAGAAGCGATTTCATCGAAGGGTCCGAGTGGTGCAACGAAGATAAGATTTGGAATTACAACGAAAATAGAAATGAGGTGCAATGGAGTCTGAGATATGGTGATTTCATCGAATGAGGAGTCTGAGACATGGGACAACTGAGATTTCGTTGAAGAATAATAGTAAAAATGATGGGGGAGAGAGATGATTGGGCGTAGAGAGAGAGCTATTGTGTAGGGGGAGAGAGAATGCATATGTGTAGTTCAGATAATTACAATGGCAGTTTAGTTAATATTGTAACTTTAATAGGTTATAAGGGAACAATATCTTTCCAATATCTCCCCTTTTTCGAAAAGTTACTGAACTGGGGAAATGTTTGTGAAAAGTGACTCTACATGCAAATAACCCGATAACATATTCCTTTTAAAAAAAGTGGTCAACAGTAGGATCCGTCGTTTTTTAGTTTCTTAAAATATCAACTTTGAGGTTAACAACAACTTAATGGTAACCATCCAATTTTAAAGACACTAATGACAGAGGGTTTTTTTGTTAACGGATTATAAATTATGGGATTTTTCATTTAAAATAAAATTGAGAGGTTTATTACGTTATATCTTTAGTTAAAGGGATTAATTACTAAAAGCCCTTTAAAATAAGGCAAAATTAAATATCATACAATTAAAAAAAAAATATCGGTTTGGGTTCATATAGGATGGTTAGGGTTTATATTTTACAATTAAAACAAAATTATAGTTATGTTTGCATTTATATTAAAGGAGTAGGTTTAGATTTTACAAGTAAAATGAAACTATATGTCGGTTTGGGTTTGTAAAGGAGGATTAAGGTTTGGATTAGGCTTTGGATTTTATAATTAAAACAAAATTATATGTCTGAGAAATTTCTAACGATCTTCCGAGAGATTTCTGAGAAATTTTCAAGGGGAAAACGTTCGACGAAATGTTTTCGGGAAAAAAAAATCAAAATTTTCGAAGGATTTTCCTCGATAAGGATCATCGAGAAGGTTACCCATCCTTGGACTACTCCATCACAAGCACGCTTAACTGTGGAATTCTTTCAGGACCTTTGACCAAAAAGATAAGTGCCCTTTGGTGGCATAGGTGGCCAAATCAATTAATTTAACCCTTTCCGAAAACTAGGGTCCCATAAACCCGCCATGCAAAGACAAGTTAGTGGCCATCAAAACGGATATGAGTAAGTTATATGATCAACTATAATGATTTTTATAAAAAAATTACTAACGAAAATGAAAATGTATGAAAATAAATTTCATGGATGATTTAGTGTAATAAATCAGTCCAATTCAAAGGTGCCCCCGAACCATTAACAAAGGGGATTGATAGTACCTAGAAGAGGTTTAAGGTATGGCTAAGGATCCCTTTCTTCCTATTCATTTATTTTATACATTGATGTATTGATTGCGAATATATAGAAATCAAAGAGTGAGAAACAAATTATGGGGGTAAAAGTAGCAAGGGAAAACCGCCTTATTTCCCATATTCTTTTTAAGGAAGAATATGAGGTTATTTCAACGATTCTATCCATTGATGTATTGTATGTATTGATGTATTGTATGAAAATGTTTCAGGTCAACAAACAAAATTCTCTAAGTCTTCGGTACAATTTGAACATAAAATGGAGGAATCAGTCAGGATAAAATTGATGGTTGTGCTGGATATTACGAACGTGGGTGAAATGGGTTCTTATTTAATGGTTACTGGAAAATTAGGAGGGGAAGAGCTCGTGAGAGACTTCAAAATATCTGTCAACAATGGCCACGAAAATCCAAATATAATTTGTGAGTAAATTGAATATATTCTCCGCTTCCATTAACTGAAAGACGCAAAACTATTTATTGACTCGAACTAAGGTGATTCTGATTTGGCTTCTCAAAACAAAATAACTAGGATTTGACCCGGGCTATAGTGTGAGAAAATATTTATAAATATACAAGTAATATTTATAATAGAAGTAGAATTATATAAACACTTTAGATGATTGCAGTTGTAAAATATACATACTCATACTGTATGTCTTGACGGGCCAATTAATCATAACCTGTTTTACCATGCGACTGTAAGTTTCCAAACCAACCTGTGTATTCATAAAAATATCATTGGTATTTTAAATGCATAATATTTGTATTCTAAACGATATGTATATAAATGTATACAAAACTAAAATATGATAATAAAAACACATGAACTAAATTAGTAAAAAAAGTTTCAATTGAATATGATAATAAAAAACACATGACACATCAAATCGATTTTTGTCGTATATCATCGCTATACTCTAATTAGTTATATATTCACTTTTGGAAGTTAGTTTTTAAAATCATCAAAATGTGTTTAAAATCATTTAGATATTTAACTACACATATATGAATAAATATCATCTCATTAATATTCAATCGTAATAAAAGGTAAGAAATAATTTTGTTTTGCTTTTCTTTTGACTCAAAATCTATAATAAATTAAATTGAAGGATTGTGCTATCTTTCATCTTTGACTTGGAAAAGATTTTTAACGTATAATTTTGTTATCATATCTATAAATAATTTGTATAGGTGAAGAAAAAATCATAAAAACATTTAGAGAATATCATAAAAATGACTACAACTATGAAAACTTCTATCATAATTGCTTTGATCGCCTTCATCATTATGTCTTTTGCTCATTGTCATACTACAATCACTAGAAGTCCTGGTAATTGTTTATTATTGTATATCTACAACTTAATTTTTAACTGTGGACAAGTTTTTGTTATTTATTAATGATTTTTCATTTGTTTATTACTAATAAAATAGGTTATGGAATAGGCGGACGTACAAAAACATGTTTCTCACCAACTTTTTGCACTCTCAGAGGGGTCCATGGGTGCGATAGTTATTGTAGAACTCAAAATTTTGATTATGGCTATTGTATTCCAGAAAACTGTTGTTGTGTTAATTACTAAGAGAAAATAATATACTTCAATTATTGGTATTTGTTTAAAAGCCAAAGAAATAGTTTCCATTGATTTTTAATAGAGAAACCACATATAGTCAAGAACAGAAAATTAATTTTATCTTTATCTTTTGATTTATTTAAGGGAGACTTATTAAAAAATAGGCCAATAAAATTAGTAAATTTGCTAAATGTATCAAGGTAGAAGAAAATCTATACAATATAAAAGTTGAGGCTATAAGCTTTTGAGAGCGTCCACATAAGATTTTAAACGACCAATCAAGATTAGACAACTTATTATTTTTAACAAATTTTAAATAGCAATTATTTTCCATATCTAAAATTATGAAAAAAGGAAAATAAACCATGATATATGGAAAATTATAAAAAAATACTTTAAAATAGAGGAAATTTTCTAAATATAAAATTTTGTTATTAAAATATTTGATACAAAGATAATCAAAATAATATTTTTTCAAATTTAATTAAATTCATCAACGTAAATATTTTAAAATGTGTAACATATGTTCGATTTTAAACAACCAATCACGGTTAGAGATTTCATTATTTAACATTTTATAATTATAATAATTTTCTACATTAAAATAAAAAGGAAAAAACAGGATATACATAATTCCAAAAAAAATTTTAAAAAACTATATTGGGAAATAGTTTTTTGTATTCTAAGATTATTGTATAAAGGAAAAAGATATGAAACATTTAATAATAAAATTTTTAAAGTTGTACATTTCTAAAATCTACGAAGTTTAAATAATGTTTTTTAAAAGAAAATACCCATCATTATTAGTCTCACTAAATTTGTTTGTTTTCCAACTTTGATCAAAATATCCAGTTTACTGATTGATGTTGTTTCAAAATTTGTAATTATAATATTAATAACTCACATAGAGGAGAAAATATGAAACTATAATTGAGATTAGAAATTTCATCATTTTTTATAACTAATATAATTTTCTATATTAAGACTTTTGAAAAAATTTAAAAAAATCAACATATATAGATTTCAGAGAAACGTTAACTATGCTCCAAATATTATGATAGTGTATATCAAAAGAGAATAAAAAGATAACCAAAGCTTCTCAATCAGTATAAAGATTTGGGTTAAGAATTTTAGATCTAGAATTATAACAGATATCATAAAAATGTAAACTGCGCTCCAATTTATAAAAAGCGAATAAATGGGATAAACAAATCTTATCATTCACGATAATGACTTGGGTTAAGAATTTTACATATGAAATTATATAAATGACAAATATGGACTTTATTGTTGGCAAGAGGGTAAGGAATATGAGCCATATATTTGAGGAAATTAATTCATCATTTGAGAAAGAAATTTTATGTGTAATACTGTTCCATGTATTTAGAGAGAGCAGAGATGGTTGGTTAATGGGATCTCCGGCTCTGGCAAAGATGATAAAATATTTAGGCGGTTGGATCCTAAAATGAAAATTTCAAGGAGAGTATTAACCACCGACTAGGAGAGGCCATTGTTAAAAGTTACAACATCGCTAGATTTTTGTTGTAGACTTAGAAGATTTGGAATTCTTTATTGGCGGTCAGGTTTTGTCCCATGATTATAAGAGTGGCGAAATGGATGCCAGAAGTTAGGTTTTTTATAAGATTAGTGGTGATGAGAGAGGATATGAAAATACAAATCAACAATATTCTATTATTTCTATATATTGCCAATCGGTATATTTTGTGTTCAAAATTTTGTAATAGAATGAATTCACTGAAATCCAATATTCTAAAACGTGACTTAGGCGGTTGCTTAGGCGCTAGGACCTCAGCTGAAGTCTAGACGACCACCTAAATTGTATAGATTATATTATTGTATTTTCTAACTGCATATATTTAAATTTTAAGTTTTACATCCATATATATATAATTATAAAAGTTCATATATTGTTAACAGAATTTAAATAACTGTTTTCTAATATTATTTTAAGATTTATTAATTTTGTTTTTCTAGCAAATATTTTTACATCTATTATCAATAATATCATATATAATACTTTATTTTGTAATTGCTAAAACAAACCTTATAGAAAATGTTGTACGTAGATGAAATAAAAGTATGGTTGTAGTTAGATTTTGGAGAATAAAAGAAGTGCTAAAATATATGGTTAACGCTCATACATACATTATATAACAATGAGAGGTAGTAGTTGCAAAACTTACAAAAAAAACTTTTATAGAAGTCATGGTTTTAAATAGTCATTAGTTTTTAAAATATTATCTTGAGATAACCTATACTAACAAAAATGAAGTGAGTAGAAAAAAAAATGGTAATGAAATTGTGCATAACAAAATAAGGAAGTCATAAAAGTTAAGTATTTCTAATATATGACAACAACGTAATTTATAAAGATTCAATTGGAACGTTAAAGGTGAAAACACATGGAATATTTAAAATTTTTTGGTCATTTGCTAGGTGCATTTATTACCAACATCAGTCTATAGAAAATAAGATTTTAACTAACCGTATATAATTTTTAATTTTTCTTTCGCATCCTAAACAAAATTGAAATAATATAAATGATACACAAACTATAAATAAAAGAAATTTTGTATTAAAATAAAACTAAAATGTTATAGCACTTTTGCATATTATTTGTAAATGTATAGCTATTTAAATGAGTATTTAATCTAAATATTTTGTAATTAATATTAATGGAAACATACTTATGCTAATTATATTGATTAGTAAATCTAAAACAATTTAAATATAATCAATACAAATATACCCGCGCTATGCGCGGGTTAATAACCTAGTCTATACTATATAAAAGTTGAGGTTACTTATTTAGTTAAAAAAAAAAAAAAAAAAAAAAAAAAAAAAAAAAAACAAAACTATGGCGGCCGTAATATTATTTGTTGTCGTCGACCAATCAAAAGATATAAATTACGTGCTCGTGAGTTAATAAGTTAGACTATCTTTATTGAGTAGTTAAAAAGAGTAAAGAGACCTTAAGAATTTGAATCACTAAATTAACTAATGTATATAGAAAGTATAGTACTGCTTATTATAAATAATCCAAAGTGGATACTAGAACCATGCACAAAATATTGTCTATATATATGTATATATGATTTATTTCTAAACCCTTCAAATGATTTAAAGAAACAACAATATACTTGACAGGTTGATTAAAAAATATGGGTAAAATATCACCATGTTAATAATCAAACGCAATGCACTGGACCCATATATATGAACCAGAGAACGTACATGCATCATGCATTGTATGGTAAATTGGCGATTTAAAGACTTTTCATGGAGTTTTGTCCAAACAAAAAAAAAAAAAAGACTTTTCACGCAATAATAATTCCAAAACTTGGAGACTCATTAAGTCGTCGATGGCTATAAACTTTAAGTCTCTCGCTAGACTTAGACACAGTCCACTGATATCTTCATCTTCTTTGTCTTCTAGCCTTTATATATTATCTCCACCATCTTTAGATTTCGAATTAAGTGCCATCTCCCTAGCCTATATAAAAGGCATAAGCATGAGTGACACTAATAATCAAAATAAAAGAGAATAATTTTAAGATGACGTCTTCAATGGTCTCTTCCATGGCTCTCTTTCTCCTTCTTCTTCTTGTGTTTCCGCATATGGATAAAGCCCTTGGCGCACAAGAGGGAGTCCAGAAACAAAGTGAGTCTTTTGGTCTTTTTAGATGTTCCGAGCTCATTAGTATCATCATTTTACGTTATTAGTTTGGAATTTCTCTGCATTTAAATAGACAAATGAGCACTAAAACGATCAAACACTAACACTCTAAGCTATAATGTAATGTAATGCTTTTTGGGTGGTTGCAGGTGGAGAAGACACTTACCAACCTAATCGCCGCGGGTTTCCTCCGATTCGTGTTCCTGGGATTCCTGGCCGTACTCCAAAATTTCCGCCAATTCCGAAATGTCTTCCAAAACACGCCCACGTCCCCTTTTGTAAAGGTAAAATCGAGTTTCCTCCTCCTCCGCCCAAGAGGCCTTAATTTCAAAGGCACACAAGGAGGACCTGGTCATTGACCTCACTCTAGAATGCGTGTGTGTGCACATGTTTCTTACATTGTGGTTTGGTTTGTGGTTTATATATGTTCTTGTTTATCTATCTATGCATGTGTTTGTCATATTTTTATTGAACCGCCGCTGTAATAAATAAAAACTTGTATTTCCTTTTGTGTTCAAGACTGGCCGCCCTTTGCATTGGATCGTTCAAACATTTCCCAACACTTGACAAAATAGAAATCTATCTCATCAGACAGCCTAAACCACATAGGCTCTTGTTTAATACCTGAAACAAACTTTAAACCCTTAAAAATGATATATGCATACTATCATCTTTAGCCAGAAAATAAATATTATAACTGAAATGTTTTTTTTTCTTCTCATTATTCCATTTACATTGCCATTTGTATTATCACCAATTCTCATTACCGTATTTCTAACTACACTGTCATTTCTATTTTACCGATCGCCGTTCGGATTCATTATATAAACATGAAAATAATTTTTTGTAGAAATCAAGAATGAACAATGTGTTGGAACTCAATTTTCAGAAACAAGTTTCTGAAAAATTGTAGGTTTTTTGACAATGACTTTCCGACCAAATTCCGGCCAAATGGCTGAACGAAATTGTGAGCTTGATAGTGCAATGGAAAGCTGGTAACGAGTATTACAAGATGGTATACTCATATGTCAAAAATGAGTTGATGTGAATGAGAATAAGGGTGTGAAGTGAGCCACTTGGATTGATTTTTTGAGAAAAATCCCAAACCGAACCAAATCAAACTGGGTTGGGCCGGGCGCGGGCTAATGGGCTTGTGGGCTGGTGGGATCGTGGCTTTGTTATTCTTGTGATTTTTTGGGCTTTGTTTAGGTCCAATTTGTTATTAGGCTTGGTGTGCACTCCAAAGAATATGCCGAGAATATTTTTCAGAATATGCCGAAGATATTTTCCTGGAGCCCTATCTCCTTCTATTCCTACAACTATATAAAGGGGAGGAGGCTCTCATTATTTTTGACACTCAAAAACAGAAAAGCATCTAAACCTCTCAGTTCTAAACCTCTCTTCTCTATTGCTTAGTTCAAGTAAGTTCTTAGTTTTATAGTTTCGAGAGTATATAGTAGATCTAGTTTGTTTGAGTCTGTTACTCGTGTGCTCGAGTAATAATTCGTAATCGTTTGTATCCTGGGATTCATAAATCGTGATACACCGAAGCCGTACTCGAGTAATAGTTTGTAATCAGTTGTATCCTGGGATTCATAAATCGTGATACACCGAAGCACTTACAGCCGATTTATTGAATTAAGGACAAAGATATCAAATCTTGCCTCCGTGATTTAATTTATGCTTTTAAACTATGTTGTTGTAATGTGTTTATGGTATCGTTCTCATTAATAAAATTCGTATTTTTCTCGATTTGATTTTTTGCGTTCCTACAATCTTAATTCAATAAATCCGCTTTGTGCTTATCGCTTTAAACAGATTGAGAATTCTTCGGATTTTTTTTTAAATAAACGATTTCAGAATCTTCTTATAACTGTTTCTGCGGTCATCTTACAGTGCTTACGCGGAAAGTTTATAGAAGAACGTTTTGTTTATTTACAATTTCTTTTCTACTCCCTCTAACTGCTTCACAAACGTTCTTTAGCGATTGTTGTGGACAGTTCTCTAGAACGTAACCTCTCAGGTTTCCACGAACGCTCTTGTTTGAGTGAGTTTGTGAAACGCAAGGTTCTGCAAACACTTCCTTAGCGAGTTTGCAAAACTAATTCAGTGTAATTTACTTACCTGAATTATTTTGATTAATATATTAATCAAATTTGTTTATTGTTAACAAAATGTCTGGATCCAACACCAACATTGACAATACCAAGGCCCCTGAGACTTCTGCTGACATGGCTTTACGTCTTGCAAAAGAACTTGAAACCACGACGTTTAGCTATTCCGATAAGGAAACCGTGCGCCGAAATCTGTTCGGTAATGAGCCAACCCAGAAAGGGATACCCCCCTCTGCATCTCAAGGGATGATGCTAGACAAATTTGATGGCAAAATTGGGTTCAAAACGTAGCAAGAAAAGATGCGCTACTATTTGGCCAGCATGCACAAAAGCTTCATCGAGTTAATTATATGCTATGTTTGCAGATCTGGGTTTGGTTGTATTTCTGATTTAATTTGAACCCAACGCCATGTGCGATCAAAGACCAGTTTTTCTAGGGTCTCTCGTGCTGATGGGTTTCTTCCTCTTCTATGTAAATGGAGAAGAATGCTCAAATTCGAGCTCATTGATTGGGCACAAGTTTGAGTTTATGATGTTGCAGCACCAACTTCGTGGGGTTTTCACTGTTGTTGATGATTGTTCTTTTAGGGTTTCTCGTTTTGATATGCTCTCTGGTTCTGATGTTCATTGGTTGGGCGCAATGAGTTCTGGTTTTGAGAATATGACTAAAGATGGATTCGTTATTTATGATCAGAAGCTTAATCAGACATTTAAAACCGTTTCTTTTATCGTTCAGTTGATGGGTAATGTTACATGGGATAAGTTAGGAGTGGTTTCGGTTTGGGATTTGCTTACTGCTTCCGATTTTGGTCATGTTCTGCTCTCTAATGCCACATAATTGGGTAATTCTTCTACAAAAGCTGAGCCACCTCCTTTAGAGAGCATAGATGTTACTGTGGGGAAATCGTATATTAGCGAGGCTTTTAAGGTTCCTACCATGTTTGATAAATGTAAGAAACTTTCGGAGAAGTATAGGCTCAGATGGAGCTTGAATGCATAGAAAGGTTATGTTGATATTGGTCTTGAGGCTACAACTGGTTGGGCTAAGCCAAATTCTACGTCGAACCTGATGTTGAATGCTGATGTTTTGGTTACTGGGATTAGAGAGGATGGCTTCCCGTTTGCTGATGATTTTTATATCATGAAGTCTAGTGTATGCTCTGTGAAGGAAGGTACAGCTTCTGGGTTTGTCCTGACATTGTGTATCAAGGGTCAGATTCAGTTGGTTCTTCGGTTAATAACACAAAACTTGTTTACGGGCATAGGATAGATGGAGTTTTGTTTGTTAGGTATAGGAGACCCTTGAATGATAGCGATAATAAGTTTGATTTTTGTGTGAATTCAACTGAAAACCTGACAGTTATTTGGGCACTTGGGGTGATAAAAACCACCAGATTTTATTAATCTTTATTATCTCCCTCTGAATCACAGTGTTGTGGAATCAGAAAACTTTGGGCATTTTTCGCTTAATCTTTCGGATCATGTGGATGAATGTTTGGGACCATTGGATGCAGACAACAAGTATGCTCAAGATGTGATCATTGCTGATGCCAATGCACCTCTTATTGTCACGGCTGGACCATCTGTGCATTATCCGAACCCTCCAAACCCTTTGAAGGTTCTGTATATTAACAAGAAAGAAGCACCTGTGTTGAAAGTGGAAGGAGGAGTTCTTGTGAAGTTTTTAATAGAAGCAGGACACGAAGTTTCTTTCTACATGACTTCAGATTTTCTTGGTGGGAATGCTTCTTTAAGGAACAGAGCTGAGCCAATCTATGCAGGTGGGCAAGAAACTCATGGAGTATTGGCGAGTCTGTCAGAGCTGGTTTGGGCTCCTAATAAAAATACACCTGATGAACTCTATTATAATTCGATTTTTCAAGAGAAAATTGGTTGGAAGGTTCACGTTGTTGAGGGGGGGCTTTCTCGGATATGTACAACAACAGTGTTAATCCAGATGATCAGCAAGTTAAGTTCTTTTGGACCATAGTAGGGGATTCGATATAGATTGCAGCTTGTGGTGAGAAGAAAAGTGGTTATCTTGCAATAGGATTTTAATTATTCTTAAACTTATATGCCCAAACTTTTAAATAAAGGTATAGATGGACAAAGTTTTCTAAAATGATCCTTAATTTTCATATAAAGACTTTACAAGTTTACACATTTTGTGTTCTTGTCATGGAATAACAAACCCTTCTGGGTATTTCATCTAGATTTCCTCTTCTAAATCTCCATTGAGAAAGACAGTTTTTACATCCATTTGATATATTTCAAGATCTCGCAAAGTTGCAATGCCTCTGAGCATTCTCATAGAAGTTATTATTGTTACCGGAGAATCGATATCACAGAAATCTAAGCCTTTTTCCAAAATCTTTGCACTACAAGTCTAGCCATGTACCTATCAAATCACCATTTTCCATTTTTATCGTGAAAATCCAGATGCTCCCCAAAGGTTTAGAGCCTTGGGGTAGATCTGCGATCTTGTAAGTGGAATGTTGCTTAATAGAGAGTCTATTTCAGTATGTCTGCTTCCTTCCAATAAGGTGCATGAGGTGTAGACATGGCTTCTGAATAAGTCCCTACTACATTAGTAGCTAAAATTGCCATTAGGAAATCTTCACTGAATGATTTACCTTTGGAAGCTCTTGTCTTCCGTCTAGGTCCCTCTTCAGATTCAAGTTCTGTTTTATCAACAATAGTACTCAAAGTACTAACCTCAGGATCTGAAGTAACTGCATGTTGTTTGTGCAAGAGATAGTTTTTGAGTTTACTTACAAAGGAATATGTGTTAAAAAAATTATGCATTTCTTGATTCCATAACTATATTCACGTGGATATCTGAAATATCTAATTTATAAACCAAAAAAATCGATAAGCATTAATGTTTTGCACATATCCGATAAAGATACAGTCTAAGGTCTTAGGCCCAAATGTGACCTTTTAAGGAGGTGGTATAACCACTAAGCTAGACACCCCCACAATTTGAGGTATTTGTACAAAGATACTATTTCTTTCCAAAGTTCATGCGGTGACTTGCCAGTCATCTTATGCGGTATTTCTTTCCAAAGCTCCCCCCCTGCCATGTTCTAGGCTAACCCAGATTCCTGCACCAGCGCTTTCATCATTTCTTTTAGAGTTCCATTCTTTCGTTCCGCAACATTGTTAGATTCCGGTGAGGAAGGAGCTGTCATTTGATGTATAATTCCTTTTTCTCTGCAAAATGCAATGAACATCTTATTACATTATCCTCCTCTTATTACTTCGTACTACTTTTATTATTCTCTGAAGCTAATTTTCTACTTCGAGTGTAAACTCTTTTAATTTTTCCAGTGCTTCATAACTATTTTGCCCTTATCTTCATCTTGGACACCGCCGTGTTGCCCAAGAAAAATTGCTCGGTTTAC